GCTAGTGCTTTCTGGTTTTGTACAATGTCTCTAGATCAACTAGAGAAATTGGTAGAGAAGGTGTTGATGGAATTCTTCCTTTAGTAGGTGTTTGATCCATTGGGTTGTCAAGAGAAGAAGAAAAATGATAAAGGAAAATTGTTTAATCCATGCGACTTTATATTGCATTATGTGGATGTAGATATTAATTGCTGGAGCTATGCATGTTGACTTTTTTTCATCCATATCCTAAAAAGATTGGTGATTGGACATTAATTAAAGGATTTGTTGAAGTTTTCTTGGAATATGATTTGGCATGCTGAAGGAAATTAAAGTGAATGCATGAAGGAGAAAAATAAATGCCTACATGACAATAAATGACCAAGTGAATTATTGAAGCTTTTGTGTGTTGTGTGCTGTTGTTTAGTATTAGTATTGGATGGGGCTTCACTTTCTAAAACTTTAAATGTAATACTCCTACTCATTAATTGGTAGGAATTTATAGATAGCAAGTAGTAATTAATAAGAAAAGAAAATGTTATATACATATACATATTACATCCTCCAATTATCTCTTCTACCGTATGTAACTTAATTAAACAATTTTAAATTCAAGTAATTATTTGAAAGATGTTACATAATCTATGTATTTAAATTTTAAAACCCTATGAAAATTTGATCTCAGGCTTTATTTCTATGGAAGACAATAATAATAGTAATTTGACTTTGAAATTCAATGTAAATAAATTTTATTTAACATTATTTTACTTACTATATATGTATGACATGTATATAGTATTGACTTACTATATATGTATATAATAGGTCATATATATATAGTGTAACATATATATATAGTGTAATATATATATGGCATAAATATGTGATAAATGCATTGAAAGTATTGATGTACTATATATCTTTACATATCATATGTATCTTTACATGCCATATGTGTGTGTGTGTGTGTGTGTGTGTGTGTGTGTGTGTGTGAATATGGCATATAGTATTGACTTACTATGTGATTTTTTATATAGCGTAGCATATATATACATGTCATTTTAAAAAATTGTCTTACTTGCATTAATACTATAGCATTATATGGCTTACATAGTATTCTAATATGATATTAGGGTTTGTATTATCTTTTAAGACCATTAACGATAATATTATCTTTTAAATAATATTATATTTTAAGACTATTAACGATAATATTTATCCTAAAGTGAAACACAATTCTTATCAAAAAATAAATATTTATCCTGAAGTGAAACACTTTGTGTTAGAGAGTTTCGATGAAAGAAGGAAAAGAGGGGCAGAGGAGGTTTCTGTAAATACCTCTATGATCAATGGAAGAAGATACAAACTGATTTCCACCTTTAAATGAAATTGTAGTAAGTTAAAAACTCTTTCAATGCGAAATTAATATTTTGTAGTGTTCCAAATCAATGTTAAATTGGGCATTAAACTCTCAATTAATATGTTGACCATCACCCTCCCAATAAATACTTTGCTGTGTTCCAAATCAAGTTTACATTGGGCAATTCTCCCTCAATTAATATATTGACAAACACAATATTTAATGAAAAGTTTGAAGACAACCTTATGTGCATTTTAAAACCTTGACATTCTTAACAATTTCTCAAATTGCTTTCTTGTTTTGATTTGCTTCTTAGATCTCTCATGGCTAGCAAATCCAACAGACGCAACTCAATGCTTGCAAGCCCAACAGCTATGGAAACCATATACAAGAGCATAAGGTCGCAACTCTAAGAGTTGAAAAATGAGATTAAGGATCAAATTCGTAGGCTCGATGAGGACTTCAGAAGTCTTGTTGTTGAAGAAGAGTTGCTCAATGACTTTCCTTTAATGGCCTCCTGAAGAAGAGTTGCTCAATGACTTTCCTTTAATGGCCTCCTACAACATTTTTTTGGATGTGAACGATGCTTAACGTACTAATGACAATAATATCGGGAAGAATGTTGGGAATATGATCAACTAAATGAACTTGATGTTGTGGGATTAGGGAGCAGTTTAGTTGTTATGTTTTAATATGTGTTCCTTATCGGTTTTGCTTGTGTTGATGTCATGTTTACGTTGAATAAAATCGATGTCTGTGTTTGTTTCCATGGTCATGCATATTTGAATTTATTTTTGCTTCAACCAGGTCTTATATACCTTATCTTCATTTGCTTTGATTTTATATTTCATTTTAATTAGTTTCTATTTGTTTATAATGAAAATGAAACAGAAATCAATGTACTGTTTAATTTTTATGTTTATAATGAGCTTGCATAAATTATTATTCTTTTTTGTCGTTTCTTAATTGGATAGCCAAAATATTTTTAATTTTTGATGCTACAATAAAAATCATTTATTTGTAATGTTTAAAATCTTTTGGTGATAAAATTTGGCAGAAGCAACTATTACAGGTGTGTTTTCACAATTGATATGAGGTGTATTGATATTGCTATCATTATAACCAGAAGGTGTTATAAGTTTTTTTGTGGTATGGAGCTAGTTGGAGCTTAGGAAAATCCATTAGAGAACATGATTTTCCTAAAATTTTATTAATTTGGTTGAATGGAAATAGTGACCGTGTGATGGTGGTGGCAGTGGTTGGATGATGACAGTGATTTGGTGGCGATGGCGGTGGCAAGGGTGGTGACAATGATTTTGGATGGCGATAGTGATTTACAATGTATTGCTTGAAATTCTATCCTTCGAATAATTACAATACAAAACAAAATACACTTCCAAAAATAACTTAAACTTCATTGAGAGAAAACAACATTGAAGAAGAGAGCATGCACACATGTTTCCAACAAACAATATTGCATGGTTTAGGGAAGACTTTTTTTGGAATTAAAATAAAAAAAGAGTACGTTGAATTAAAGTGGTCCTTTTTTTTCTACTGGAAGCCATGCAATCTATAGCCAACTAGACGTTTAATTATATTAAAACGTTACTGTTAAGTGGCTAAACTCTAAACCATAATAACATCAACCAAATTAGTAATAGACAATAACCAAATTAGTAACAAACAATAGTGTTTTTACAAAATTAAATAAATAAAATTACTAAGCCACTTAACAATAACCAAATAATACCCATAACTCATAACAATTAAGAGCATCAAATAATTTCACCCAAATCATTCAAACAAAAAAATTCCATTGTAAAACCTTTTTCACTACTATAATCTGATCCAATTTCTCATATTAATATCAGAAAACTCTTGAGTGATATTCATTGTCTGATTAATATCATTGTCTACATTCCCTATTCTTTCACTCATTTCGCCACTCCTAAAATCCTTGTTAATATTTAACATATAAATGTCTTGACTTATATTCATATCAAAATAACATACATTTTTGTTGACAGTCGCATGCTCGTTACCTGCACTCTGCTGTTCGGCCTAAAGAGCAAACCAAAATGTTTTAAAAATCTAAGTCAAGTTAAAATGTGGTGCCAATGACAGTAAACAATATCATATAGCGATTGTACCTGACTTGGAACAATTGAATTGGTGTTGTTTGTTGATCGACCTCGTCCTCTCCCTCTCTGACCTCTTGCTCTGCTCCAACCTTCTCTGCCTCGACATGCTTACTGATTCCTAGCTACATTATTTTGGCGGAGTTCGTGTCATGATCTGTATCGATTACTCTATGGACGTCCACAACTCCGAGTCACAAATAGATCAAAGACAGTTTGTATTTCTTCCCCTGTTGTCATCATCTAGTTGCCTCACAATAACGTCACCTGAGTTCTGTTCTTGCACATTCATCCCATCATGCCAATTCAACAATTTTGCCTTTAAGTCTTCCAACCTCTTGTCCGAGTACTCCAACTTGTTCTTGTTGTCAAAGCAACAATGATATGCTTCTTGAAATTTCTTATCCATCCTCCTATATGTTTCATACTCTTCTGTCATGTGTGGATACCCTCCTTTGAAAAACATATAGTTGTGTCGTCGATAAACGTCTTTCCTCCACCTCCTTATCAGATAATGCTCATTGATGATGTTAATGTCTTTCACGGACAATATCTTAAAAATATGGCAACAGAGGATTCCCTTTGATTCAAATTTCCTATAATTACATTAAAATTTGAAAAGGAAAGAAAAATCAGACATTAAAATTTTACTTGTCTGAATGAAACCAAAATGAAACCAATATTGTACGGGAACCGTAAACCAAATTCATTTCCCGTTTCCAATAACTACAATGAAACCAAATTTTCAAAAGGTTAATATATAATATGTAATTTCAGTAAATTATAGAATATTCAGGTTTTAACCTATCTATATCACACGTAATTTTAGTAACATTTACCATATACTAAAGTAACTACAATATATTACTCATGTCAATAACATTTTGTTAATGTTAATCTATAAAATATGTACCCTAAATTTACAATTCAAACCTAAATCAGACGTAAAAGACTTTGAAAATTTTGAAAAAAGGTAAAACAGGGATTATCACACGTAATACTTCTAAAAAAGAAAGAAAAAATTTCTACACGAACCTGTAATTACACCTCAACAATTGTCCATCTTCTATATACTCAACTTCATAAGTGAACTCCTTGCAATACCAATCATTCACTATACATCTCTCTGTCACCTTGAACTTCTCAACACTATCGTCCTGCATTTCCTCATCGATATGTGGAGTTACATTGCAGTACAACATGCGCCTTATCTTGTCTTGAACAGCCTTGAACATTCCTTTTATGAATGCTCGTTGAAACTGCCTCTCCCATTAAAATTTAGAAATGCACTTAATCACTATATCTTTACTTCTAATATCAGCATAAAATTCCTTCTCCATTTTATCGCGCATAGTAATCTCATACTAATCCACAAATTGTTTAAGCATGCTCATTAAATTCACGTACCCATCAAAATATGCATGCATGCCCTCACTCTTATGAGTTGATAGCATTTTGGCCCAGAATATGTTGTTCAAATAGATTGGCACCCAATTCACCCTCTCCATGAAAAGCTTCAACAATCATTCAATTTCATGCAATCCATGCCTCTCCATGAACCCATGCCAATTGTTATCGAACATCTCAAAAGTTAAGCTGTCACATATGACAACTTTAAACTCATGAACTACAATAACATAGTCTGCAAAACTTCTCTGGAACTTATGCCACAAGCAAAATCTATGAACAGAATTGAGCATGACTTCTGAGATGGCTTTCTTGATACTTTTGCATTGATCAGTCATTATGGTTTTTGGATGAACGTCTCCTATTGCTAACAACCAACAAGTGAATAACCATTTAAAAGTATCAACATCCTCATGTAAAATCAAGGCACAACCTAATAAAATGGATTGCCCATGGTGGTTGATGCCCACAAATGTCGTGAATGGCATTTTGTACAAGTTCACTAAGTATGTTGTGTCGAAGCTAATAACATCACTGAACTCCTTATAAGCAGCTTTGGAACGAGGATGAACACAAATGACATTGGACAACCTAGAATCGCTGTCAACATCAATCAAGTGAAAAAAATCTATATCCCTTTGCTACATCCTTAAGAATAATTGGTGGCTTAGCTCAACATCACCTTCACCGAGTCTCAACCTTCTTTTTTTTTTTCAATGAAATTGCGACAATCCTTTGGCAAACATGTTAGATTCTAAGGGCCACCAGATTGGACTTTAAGCAACCTAATGCTTTTCCAAAACCTAATCCCAGCAATATCATTAGCCTCTAGATTTCTCCTCACTTCAGGATTCAAATTCATGTGCCCTACCATGAGCCTAAACATTGATGGATCCAAATCATGATTGTGATTTGTCTGAACTTTTGTAACCTGCCACTTTCCATTAGATCTTAGAACCGCACTTAACCTAGCAACATAATTTGTCCTCTTCGAGGACTTCTCATAATATGTTTTCCTTCCTTTGTCACAACTAATAGTCTGATATCTTCCATCACCATTCCTCCCATTTCTTGTTGATTTCTTCGCAATATGAAAGCCTTTATATTTTGCATGCTCTTTATATGCCTTGAAGAGAGATTCCAATAAGCTACGGAAAAACATGCCTGGCTAAGGACCATGTTCAAAAGTTGCTTCCATTTCATTAGTACTTGCTGAAAGATTCAGCATGCATGAAGAGTGGTGGAGATGGAGAGTGAAAGCATGAAAGCATGGATTAAAAAAACGGTTTACATGCAAAGCTTGGATATGAGATTATACCTACTCCTTTGCTTTGGATTGATGAAGATTAGCTTCAAAAGGATGAAACCTCCACACTTTAACACCACCTTGAGAGGATTAGAGAGTGGCCTTGGCTAGGGAGAGAGAGCTTTTAGTTTGTGTTTGAGTGAACAAGTGAATAATGAACAAAAATGCAACCTTTTGCACTTATATATACTTGGGCTATTTTGCAATTATTTATTTTTCACTTCCAAGCCCAATAAAATCTTATTTTATAAAGGGACCCCACGAATTTAATATGCTACCCTTTGAATAATCAATATTATTCAAGGGCCCATGTAAACTAAACTAGTTTACATTAACAACCCATAAATTTACCCTTTTTACCCTTTAACTATTAAAAGGTTATTTTTGTTCATCTCATTAATCTTAACACTTTAAGATATAATAATTAAATATAATTAATTATTGCTTGACCATTTTAACCCTTAAAATGTCACAAATTGTTTTCTATGTAACTATTACTATAGAAATCCCGTTATTACCCTCGGAAGGTGCTAGCCCTCTTCGGATAATCATTTCTCTCTCTCATCCTTCTCTAACTTCCCAAGGCTATTGGTGTGACCATGTAGGTCCACCGTGGATTAGCCGTGAGCCGGTTCTGGATGAATTTGACTGGGTCTAGACAAGATTTAGAATCAGACATCCCAGCTTGTGAAGAAGCTCTTGAGCATATTTAGATTGTGTTAGCAGCAAACCTAAATCATTCCTATGTACCTCAAAGCCAAGAAAATAATTTACAGCCCCATATCTTTAAACCAAATTGCTGATTCAAATCATGCACAACTTGAGAAATTAACTCAGGATCATACCATCACAAGAATATCGTCAACATATACTAATAGGTACACTACTTGACCCCTTTTTTGTAAGAAGAGGTTGTAATCTGATGCAGATTGACAAATCCCCAAGTCAACAAAGCTTTCTTCAATTTGTCAAACTAGGCTTGAAGAGCCTGTTTTAGGCCATAGAAGCCTTTTTAATTTGCAACAAGCCTAGGATTAGATTCAACTTCAAAACCTGCAGGCTGAACCATAAACACATTTTCAGTGAGATCCCCATTTAGAAAAGTATTATTTATATCCAGCTGTTGAATAGGGCAATCATGATGAACAGCTAATGAGAAATAATCTTGATGGTGGCAGCTTTATCAGAAGAGCAAGGTATCAAAATAATCTAATCCTAGTGTTTGTTGAAAGCCTTAGCTACCAGCCTTGCTTTAATTTTTGAAGAGATCCATCAACATTTAGTTTAGTCTTAAACACCCATTTACTACCAACTACATCATATCTAAACTATAAGGAGTTAATTCCCAAGTATGGTTTCGGATGAGAGCTTGAAATTCTGTTTCACTAGCTCCTTCCATTTGGACATTAAAGTGCTTCTGTCACAGTTTTAGGCTCAGGCAGAATTGTTGTGGAGAGAAGAGCACAAGGTTGTACCAAGCTTTTTGACCTTGTTAACATAGGGTGGACATTTCAGTACCTTTGACAGAAGTCTGATGCTTAGGAGGTTGAATCGGTAAAACTACTTCAAATTGAATCCCTTATGTGTAAATGGGTCATTAGAGTGAGCTGTGACTGGGCATTGATCAGGTTGAGATGTTTGGACATTTTAGTACTTTTTCGAGAACTGATGCTTAGGAGGTTGAGTAGGTAAGACTACTTCAAGTTGAACCTCATTAGTTGTAGATGGAGCATTGGAGTGAGATGTTACTATGCATTGATCAGACTGAGTTGTATGAATAAGAGATGGTGTAGAGGTATCTCTACTGGTCCAGACAAAAATAGGAGCAGACTAAGGAGTGACAGAATTGCAACTCTGCATAGGCAACTGCCAAGGAGTTAGAGATCCATTGATGCTATTAACTTGATCCACAACTTCTTCAACTTGAGACTAGAGCACTGAAACCGACTTAAAAGCCATCTCAGATTCGTTGACTTACCTGTCTAGCTATATAAACTTTCCAGATGAAGACAAGCATTTATAGCCCTTATGCTATAAGCTATATCATAGAAACACACATTTCTCAGTGTGATAAGAGAACTTGTGTTGTTGGAAGGGCGAATATAGGGAAACAACTGCAACCAAAACTTTCAGCGTGTATAATCAGGATCTTATTAAAAAGTTTCTGAAAAGGTGATGCAAAACCTATGGCAGTAAATGGTAACCTGTTTAGAAGAAAGTTTGCTGTTGAGAAGGTTTCCACCGAAGCATAAGGCATTCCAGCATGAGCTAGCATAGTTAAACCAAATTCAGTAATGGCCTTTGCTTCCTCTATCCTGCCATTCTGTTATGGAGATAAGGGCAAGGGTGCCTAAAATTGATTCCATGTTGCTGAAGATATATGGGAATGATCTAAACTCACCTCCCCAATCGGTTTGCAAACACTTAATTTAAAATCAAACTGCTTCTCAACAAAACAGTGAAACTGTGTAAAAATACCATAGGAATCAGATTTCAACTTCAGAGGATAAACCCACGTGTACGACTATAATCATCTATAAATGCAATATAATATCTATACCCTTCAGAGGATACCACGGGTGTAGGGCCCACAAATCAGCATGAATCAATTCAAGTGGAGCAGTTGAAACAGAATTTGAACTAGGAAAAACACACTATTGCATTTTTCCAAACTACATGCTTCACAAAATGCATATTATGCTTGAAACACTGCAATAATGTAGTTTTTTAGTACATTATGTAAAGTTTTGACATTGGGTGGACCAAGTCTAGCATGCCACAACATAGCAGTACTAACATCAGAATTAGCAGAAACATTTTTATTACATGCTACATTGTAGTAGCTAAAGCAATATTAACTCCTTGACCTAAATTTGTACTGATACCACTTGATACAGATCTGAGAACAGAATCTGAGTTATTGTTGAAGGTAGAAAATTGGAGCAGACTAGGTGAAATCTGCAGTTGATAAAGTCCATCTCGCAAGCCTCCTTGAAGCAAGACTTCCTTGGTGGTTTTATCCTTTATTAAACAGCAATTGGAGAGAAATTCGACAATAACATCATTGTCCTTAGTTATTTGAGAAATACTAAGTAAATTCTTTTAATATGAGGAACACAAAGCACATTCTTTAATTCCAAAAGTCGCTTAGTAGAGTGAGATGGAACATAAGACATACCTATGTGAGTGATGGGAACAACCTGCCATTTCCAACTTGCACCTGAGAATCACCTTGATAATCACTTTAACCATCAAATTACTAGTGTCAGATGTCTATGATTTGTATCCAATCAATGTACCAAGTCTGATCTATTACTGTTGAGGAGCATCAACAGGTAGTATGCGAGTAGACATAGGTGCAGACACATTTGATCCTTTAAACACAGTCTGTTGAGGTTGTGATGAATTCACTTGCGAGGATGGGTAAGAGTGCTGAAACTGTTGCAAAGATGGCTGGGAATATTGAATCTGTTGTATACCTCTAGACGGATGATTGAGGATACAATGGAAGCTCTTGATTATGAAACTAGTGTGAGAATAATTGGCTGACGGCGCTGTGTTGCATACATTAGTTTTGTTGCAAGAAAAGCTTGAGCAGCAAGTTCAGTAGCTAGTTTGGAAACTGAGTTGAGAAGCAACCACATCAGAAAACCAGTAAATCCTAGATAGGCATGATTAAACCTATGGTAGCATGCAATGCTGAGTGTCCAACTTTGCCACAGACTTGGCATATCAATTTAGGCTTAAAGGAACCTCACCTCTTCCTCTAGGTCTCATATGAGGGTGAAACTCATCATCCCAAGATGGAGGAACTGATTTTCATATCTAGCAAGTAGAGTATTGTGGCTGAAATTGAGTAAATTGACTAGGAATGCACTTGAAGACTGGAATTGTGAAAAACCAGAAAACTGATTCGATTCAGATTCAGTCAAGTAATCTAGGTATTTCTGTTTTGCTTAAAGATGAAAGCTACAGTAACAAGCACATATATACTGCATTTTTACCTTTTCTTGTATTCTAAACACCAAAAAAAATATACAAATAAAATTCTTTTACACACATATCTGAAGTTTTTTAATATCTAGATTGATCAAATGTTAGTGATTAGTCACTAACTTTTGATTTTTTTTTCTATTCTGAGGCTAACAACTAGGAGCTGATCTTTAAGCCAACTAGGAGCTGCTCTCCACAAATTTAAAACTTCAAGACGTTCACATTAGAGATTGACTAAAGATACCAAATACTAAGGTTAAAGGAGAAACTACATAATCTAGGAAGTTTAAGCTCCCATTAACTCTTTCGCACTCAATTTCAAGAAGTAAGACAACAAACTATAAACATCAGGCGTTGTAGAGTATATGCCCCTTTTCAGGTACTCAGGAGAACATAGCACCTATGTTGGCATTTAAACAATTACTAAACCATATTAAATTGAGTAGTAATAGATATGGAAAGAAAATAATAAAATATATTTACCTCGTTCCAACAATTGTTTATGTGTTTGCTTCAACGTCTTCTTTCACAAAATTCTAGCCATACCAAAATCTGATATTTTGTTTCATATTTTCGTCCAACAAAACATTACTAGCTTTCAAATACAATGAATAATGGCGAATCTTGAGAATTCTTGGAGATATAGAAGCCCTTGAGTAACCCCTTCAATAATTGCACATGCTTTTTTCCAATCCAAAACATAATACTATTGGGGTCTGCATCAAATTTTTATGAAGTAATAATCAATGCTATATTCACCATCTGGAGTACCAACATATAAGAGAAATATTAAATGAATCTAAGAATTTCCTTGAAAAAATTCATACCAAATAAGAATAGTCTAAGCTTTTGTTTTCCATGTA